CTCAACCACACACCCTCACCCACACTGAGACCACGGAGACATGCCAGTTCAGCGAATGGGCTCAGCTTTGGGACACGGGAGGAACCCAGAATCCCCGGCAGGAGTGAGAAGAGCAGGCAGACCGACGCCTTCAGACTAAGGGAAGGAGAAACCTTTCGTTTCCAGTTTCTGATGGGGGACCCGGAGCTACCAGGGATCCTGGTCCGCAGGTCAGGGGCAAGCTACTCTGAGAGAATGCAGGAGGCACAGGGTGCTGCTGTCCTTCAGGTGCGGGGTTCCTGTCGGCCCTGAGTCTGCCGCACCCTGTCCCTTTCTGACGCCTGCTCACTGTGCCCAGAAACGCCCTTTCCCTTCCCAAATGCGTCTGTATTACTCGTACCTGGAGCCCTATGCCTGCTCAAACGGTTACTATTACTATTATCAATATTTTTTAGAGACAAAGTCTTGCTCTGTTGCCCAGGCTGGAGTGCAGTGGCACAATCACAGCTCACTGCAGCCTCAAATTCCTGGGCCCAAGCCATCCTCCTGCCTCAGCCTCCTGAGCTGCTGAGACCACAGGTGTGCACCATCACGCCCGGCTAATTCAGAGGGTTATTGTGAGGATTCGTGTTCACGTTCGTGACGGCACTAGGGCAGGGCCCTCTTCAGGACTCTTGGCCTCTCTTGATCTTGGGCCTCCGGCGAGACCATCACTGTAGCCCTCAGCTTGCGTGGATTCCTACCAGCTTCCCACAGGCACAAACTCTGGGATAAATGCTTCCCCCTCTCCTCCCCTAAATAGTCTCAAGAAGTGATTGTTTGTTTGTCTTACAAGATGGTCCCTGTGATCAAGCTTGACACCAAGGTAGTGGCCAGGTTGGTAACTCACCTTCGTAATGGTTGTCCTGACTTCCACAGGGATAAGCTAAGGCAGGAGTCTAGGCAACAGAGGGCAGTCAGTGGATGGGAGCTGGCCTCCTGATGTCTTCTGTATCTGATGACCTTCGCTTCCGTCAGTTGCTTTAGGAATCCCTCCAGCATTGAAAAATCCAAGACTTCTAATATTCATTTACCCTTCCCTTCTTCTTTCCTTCCTTCCTTCCTTCTCCTCCTCCTCCCTTTCTTTCTTTCTCCCTTTCTCTCTTTTTCTTCTTCTTCTTCTTTTTTTTTTTTTCCAGATAGTCTTACTCTGTCACCCAGGCCGGAGTGCAGTGGCACGATCTCGGCTCACTGTGACCTCCACCTCCCAGGTTCGAGCAATTCTCGTGCCTTGGCTTCCCAAGTAGCTGGGATTACAGGCACCCACCACCATGTCTAGCTAATTTTTTGTATTGTCAGTAGAGACGGGGTTTCACCATGTAGGCCAGGCTGGTCTCGAACTCCTGACCTCAGGTGATCCGCCTGCCTCAGCCTCCCAAAGTGCTGGGATTACAGGCGTGAGCCACCAGGCCCGGCCCTTTCCCCTCTTTCTTTCCTTCTCTTCCCCAACTCCACTCTTTCTTTCTCCCGTTTTCCATCTTTTTGTTACTTTATTGCCTCATGTTTTAAAGAAAGTCTGTATATTTTGCAGCATTTAATAAAATCTTTTCTTATTTACAGAAGTCATTTCCTTTTGGTTACTTAAGCCTTATGTGTCAAACAGTGACCCAACAGGAGAAAAGAGGGCACATTTAGATGAGGGTAAGTCTCCATGAGTTAATACAAAGCCCATTTGCAGAAGTGTGGCTGAGGAATAGAGAAGCTGTGGGGGATACTGCAGCACCACCTCTGGGTGAACCAGTCAAGGAGAAAAGTATCTGCCAGAACAGAAAAGAGCCACTCGTGCCGGGGAGAACCACCCTGAGAGGAGCTCCAGCCTGGGCTTAGGAATACAGACAGCCGGGGGTAGAGCGCAGAGAGGCGGTATTTTCCTTTCCAATCATCAACAGCAAAGCACTATACTGTGATCCTTTGATATATAAGAATATTTACACTGCCTTTTTTTTTTTTTTTTTTTTTTTTTTCAGAGACGAGGCCTCACTATGTTGTCCAGGCTGGTCTCAAGCTCCTGAGCTCAAGTGATCCCCCTGCCTCAGCCTCCCAAAGTGCTGGGATTATAGGCATGAGCCACTACATCTGGCATTAATTCTTCATACTGTAATCAAGAAGGTTAGGGAGCATAAAATTTCTTACAAAAGGGAATCCCCTCTGTTCACTGCTCCCTGCTTACAAATTTTGATGAGAGTCTCCAGTTCTGGAATCTCTAGTTCTAATAAACTTACTTACTTGGGAAGACAAATATGAAACAATGCAAATAAGCAAACTGAAGAAGCCATACTTCACTTGAGTCCATTTTAAAGCCTCCTGTAAATGAGCCATTATAATAAACTCATCAAAATGCATAAAAATAACATTCAGATTGAACAACATGAATCATAGTTTTGAGCAAAATTGATGTGAACTTTTTTTTTTTTTTTTTTTGAGACAGAGTCTTGCTCTATCACCCAGGCTGGAGTACAGTGGTGAGATCGTGGCTCACTGCAACCTCTGCCTCCTGGGTTCAAGCAGTTCTCCTGCCTTAGCCTCTTGGGTAGCTGGGATTACAGGCATGTGCCAACACATGCAGCTAACTTTTGTATTTTTAGTAGAGAAAGGGTTTCACCATGTTGGTCAGGCTGGTCTTGAGCTCCTGACCTCAGGTGATCTGCCTGCCTCAGCCTCCCAAAGTGCTGGGATTACAGGTGTGAGCCACTGCACCTGGCCAATGTGAACTTTTTAGAGTTAGTTTACACAAACTCTCAATTAAATGTGGAAACTGATATAGCTTGATTTTGGTATGATGACAGTTTCATTTAATTAGAGTTTAGGATAATAATTTGAGATAATACATCATTGAATGGGAAATTTATTTTTTAATTTAATATAAAATTAAAAGCTACTTAGTTTATTGAGTTGCTTTTAAATTAAATTTATTTTAAATTAAATGTATTTAAAATAAATTTAATTTAAAAGCAACTCAAGAAACTAAGCTGTCACACGTTAGCATAAGTAAACAAATGAGGAAACTCCCAGAAGCCACACTCAAGGGGTCTGCTTTTCCTTCCAGTGAGCTGGCCAGAGATCTGCTAGAAAATACAGTGACTGGGTCAGCTGATCCAGGCAGAGCTACCCATCACATAGAGAGGCTCACAAATATTGCTGAAAGCAAGACTGATACCCATTTTAAGGATTGCATCTGACTGAAAAGCCTCTGCACAATCAACCAAATGAAAAGGCACATGAAATGGGAGAAAATATTTGCAAACCATGCATCTGATAAGGGGGTTACTACCCAAAATATATGGGGAACTCAAACAACTCAATAGAAAAAAAATTTTTTTAAAAACCTGTGATTTTAAAGATAGGCAAAGGACCCAAATAGACATTCCCCCAAGAAGACATAGAAATAGCTAACAGGTATATGGAAAAGTGGTCAGCATCAATAATTGTTACCATAACACCAGGGGTTTGGACTGGGTCCTGCTGTTCACTGCACAAAAAGCCAATCACTGAGACAACAAGTATTGCCAAGGGAGAAGCTTTAATTGGGTGCTGCAGTCAAAGAGACGGGAGCTCAGTCTCAAATCCTTCTCCATGAGTGGCTAAAACTAGGGGTTTATATAGCAGGGAAGAAATGTAACAATGTGTAAGAAAACAGGAACTAGAGAAGGGGAGGAAGTAATCATGATGAATGAGGGGTTCCACATCACATTGTCTGGATGTGGTGATCTGGTATTCTTTGCTATCTTTTTTTTTTTCAAGAGGCCTGAAAGTGGTTTTCAGAGGAAGGAACTGAGATAAAACAAATGTAAGGGTCTGACTTTAAGACCAGAATGGTCAATTTCTACATTTATTGGGTTGGTTTCATAATCATCAAGGAAATGCCAATCAAAACCACTATGAGGTGTTATCTCACACACTTAGAATGGTTATCCTCAAAAATATGAAAGATAAGTGTTGGCAAGAACGTGGAGAAAAGGGAAGCCTTCTACACTGTAGGTGGGGATGTAAATTAGTATAGCCATATGGAAAACAATATGGAGGTTCCTAAAAAAACTAAAAATAGAACTACCATATGATCTAGCAATCTCACTATGTATATATATCCAAAGGAAATGAAATCAGAACTCTACATTCTCATGTACATTGCAGCATTTTCACAATGGCTAAGATATTGAATTAACCTATGTGTCCAAGGATTGATGAATGAATAAACAAAATTTGGTGTATATGCCTAATGGAATACTATTCAGCCATAAAAAGAAAGATATCCTGTCACTTGTGACAGCATGAATAAGCCTGGAGGATATTATGCTAAGTGAAATAAGCCAGGCACAGAAACACAAATACTGCATGATCTCACTTACATGTGGAATCTAAAGAAATTGAACTCATAGAAGTAGAGAATAGAACAGTGGTTACCAGCGGCTGGGGGTAAGGGGTGGAGATGGAGAGATGTTGGGGACAAAGTACAAAGTTTCAGTTAGGATGAATAAGTTCTAGACATCTATTGAACAATCCATTTTCTGCAAGCTTGTCAGTATTTGAAATGGGCAACATAAGTTAAGTGATAGAGATGTTTTATGTCTTTTTAGTTGAGGGCAGGTGGGAGATGGTATTTGCTAGCAGACATTCTGAATGGTATAGTCTTGGCATCTCAAACAAAATATCTTAAGAACATATATGCCTATCTTATCAAAAGAAAGCCTCATCTTTTAATGTTGGTGACAGTGAGCAAATCTCTACAAAAGAGAGGCTTCGTCCCAAATTCAGCTATGCTGTAGAGATCTCTAAATGTTGCGATTTCTCACTGGCTTAAAGGAAAGAAGAATTATACTCTTCATTTTATGTTCTAGAAGACATAATAGCACAGTTAATAATAAGACTAAAGTATTTTTATAGACTCTGATCAAGACTAAAAAAAATTTCAAAACGCACATAACAACATATAACTACATTATTTTGCTCAAAAATATGTCCTCCTCTGAGTCTTACAGACTGCAATTTACCTGCAATCTGATATGCACAGCTATCTGGTGAGTGCTTCTTGAAACCTGGATTCAAGAGAGAGCTGGGTGTTTCCTCTTGCTTAAGTCCACATTTTGAATTACAGCTTCCTGGTTGACAAATGTCTTCCTTCCAAAATGGCTGCCCCGTGACTCAGATCCTATCCTGACCTCCTTAGGGAAACCTCTCTTTCCTCTCCACAAAGTGGGGAACTCCCCTGCAGTCTCAACAAGAATAGCATATCCCAAGTCAGCTCAGTCAGAGAAGAGGCTGCTTTTGCAAAAGAGGTTTTCATCGCAGTCAAAAATGAAAACTTCTTTTCCCCCTCACATCCATCTGCCTCAGAACGCCTTATCCATTAGACTTCAGGGCAGCTGTAGGTTTCCCAGAAAATGCAGCCTTTCACAGCTCTCTGACCTGGCGCCAATGGTTCCCTCTGCCTAAAATGTCTTCATATCTTCCAGCTGGCAAATGCTTAGTCTTCCTTCAAAATCCATCCAATGTGTTTGTGCCTGTGTTTTTAAACATGAAGTTTCACTGACTCCCCTAAACGGTCAGCAGCTTTCTCCTTTGATTCCAAAGCACTTTAAATGAAATTATAATAGCATTTTTTATTTTATTTTATTTTATTTATTTTGAGAGTTTCACTCTTGTTGCCCAGACTAGAATGCAATGGTGCAATCTCAGCTCACTGCAACCTCTGCCTCCCAGGTTCAAGCAATTCTCATGCCTCATCCCCCAAGTAGCTGGGATTACAGGGAACTGTCACGACACCCGGCTAATTTTTGTATTTTAAGTAGAGATGGAGTTTCACCATTTTGGCCAGGCTGGTCTCGAACTCCTGACCTCAAGTGATCTGCCTGCCTCAGCCTCCCAAAGTGCTGGGATTACAGGTGTGAGCCACCACGCCCGGGGTGCATCTTTCAACTTTTATCAAAATTGTTTTCAATTCTGCCTTTCTTCCTCTTCCCCAGACTGAAAGCTTCTGAAGAGAGACTATTTGTATCTTCACTGAGCACAAGACCTAGACGTAACTAAAGCTCAAGAAATGTATTCATTAACTCATTCATTAAAAATAATTATTAGTGTGTGTTGTTTGTGAAACTGTGGACTGAGTGCTGGGATGTAACAGTGCAAGGGACAGACGTAATCCCTGCTTTCTGGCAACTTGGATGAGGAACAAATTAGCTAAATGTGAGAAGTAGACTCCTCTTTAAACTTTCCTTTCTTGTTAAAGAATAAGTGTGCTAATAACTCTTTGTTAAGCCCTATTCTATGTAGCTGTTAGACATGCCATGCTTACAGGCATGTAATATATTCTATGTCCTTGTACTTAGATATCTGTGCTGGACGTGCTCACAGGCATGTCCCAGCTCTCCATTGCTTTTACCTGTTTAGAAAAGTTTTGGCCAGGCGCGGTCACTCACACCTGTAATCCTAGCACTTTGAGAGGCCCAGGTGGGCAGATCACAAAGTCAGGAGTTCGAGACCAGCCTGACCAACGTGGAGAAACCCCGTTTCTACTAAAAATATAAAAAATTAGCCGGGTATGGTGGCGCATGCCTATAATCCCAGCTACTTGGGAGGCTGAGGCAGGAGAATCACTTGAACCCGGGAGGCGTAGGTTGCAGTGAGCCGAGGTCTTGCCATTGCACTCCAGCCTGGGCAACAAGAGCAAAACTCCATCTCAAAAAAAAAAAAAAGTTTTAAGTTGTTAGCCAATTGGGTTTTAGTTTAGATTGTGAGGTCTGGCTCCAGCCAACGGAAATCAGACACAGCAATAAGAATAACCCAAAATGCATAAGGGATAAATATGTCTGTTTTCCTTTGTTCATTGTACTCTTGTTGCAAAACGGCTAGTTAGGGTACCCTTCCTGCAGTCCAGGAAGTAAAAATTGTGTTGCTGAAAGATCCTTCGTGTCAGTGCTAATTTTTCTCTGCAGCACTGAGCATCTGTTTCCAACATTAAACATCAGGCAGGTTTTTTTTCTTCTTTTACCTATTTCGGCTTTGCTTAGCCTCCACCCAAAGAATTCAGATTATTTGATACTTAAACACTATTATCTCTTCCTTAAAACACCAACCTTGCCAGTGACAGTATTAGGACCAAGAAATGTTGCCATGTTGCGAGTTCAAAGATGTTTGAGTCCCCCTCTCTGCCATCCAGAGGTGTGTAGTCTGGCTGAAGAATAAAAACCAACATATGGAACAATTAGGAAACAATATAGGAAAATAATTCAGTGCTAATTGTTTGGAACAGACTGCATATCTTCAGAGGACAGACAATGAAGTCAGTCATATAATTAGTGCATAATTTATAGCTCATGCTGTACACATCATCAGTGAATTTAGCACAGCAGCAAGATAACTCTCGATACACAAGACATGCTTTGCTTTGCTCCCTACCCTAGCACGTGAATCGGATCTGTGGGAAAATGGACCTCTGCCTCCGCTTGGGAGAGAAAAGGGACTACTTTCACAGCAGCCTGTAAAAAGAAACAGAAGGGCCAGGTGCGGTGGCTCACGCCTGTAATCCCAGCACTTTGGGAGGCTGAGATGGGCGGATCAGGAGGTCGGGAGTTCAAGACCAGCCTCAACATAGCAAAATTCTGTCTCTACTAAAAATAAAAAATAAAAATAAATTAGCCTGGTGTGGTGGTGGGCACCTGTAATCTTACCTACTCGGGACGCTGAGGCAGGGGAATGGCTTGAACCCTGGAGGCGGAGGTTGCAGTGAACCCAGATGATGTCACTGCACTCCAGCCTGGGTGATAGAGTCAGATGCCACCTCAAAAAAAAAAAAAAAAAAAAAAAGAAATGGAAAAATGTGCTCCCCAAAACTCAGATTTCTGGAGTCCCTTTCACAGAGCATGGAGGTGCCTGGGATGGAAAGAGCTACTGTTTTTCTCATCTATTTACTTTGATTTTTTTATTTTTATTTCTAGGGCTCTATTTGTTTTTTACAAGGAGAGGAATTGGAGAGCAGTGTGGAAGAGGGTCATTCAGGACTCCAAAGTCCTCACGGTTCCCAAGGGGTTCTTGCCAAGGGCAGTAAGGAAGCACCTGCTGTAGTCTGGGTGTTTGTGTTTACGTGTGAATAGGTTTTTCCTCTTGACTACTCCTTTCTCAAGCACCCTTATTCTCGCTACCCCCAATCAGCTGTAAGCCAGCAAGCCTGGTCTGCGGCTTTGACAGGAGCAAACACAGCCCTGAGCTGCTCTCTGCATGGCCACCCTCCCTGAGCGCCAGGGGGTTCTCCTTGTGGCACCCGGGGGCCGTGAGGCAGGATCCGGAAGACTGAATTCCACATCCTTGAAGCTGTCTGCAACGAATCCGGCCTCTTGCAGAGCCTCTTAATTGAGGTTTCCTGAGCTTTATCCCCACCAGCCCCATCAAGGCTGCAGTAAATCCTCTTCACCCTTTTCCCTCATACGCGAGAGTCTAATCAGGACAAACCAGCCCCACGCAGCAAAAGGGAACCGAACCTAGGAACCAGTGTTGCCTAAATAGATGGAGTACATTTGTTAGACTCTTAGACTTCGGGCGCCAAGAGACAGAAATACTAGATATAATTTCATAGGCATAATATTTCCTAATTTAAATGCCTTCAAAGTCCTCTGGAAAGACCCTCCCTTAGGGAGAACTCCCTCACATCCATTGCACATCAGCTAAGCAGTTAAGGACTTCTGAGGAAAGCAGGGCAGCCCGCGGCCACCATGAGAAGGTGCCCTCCTGTTCTCAGAGACTTTGTGTTTACATTTTTAACTCGGTATGGCCTTGGCAGCATCGCCCCAGGTTCCACATTTGAAATTAATGTACTGGAAGGCTTGTAAGGGTCAGAGGAGAAGAGCCCAGGCTTATGTTTCAGCCCAGCAGGCTCTGCAAAGATGAAACAGCACGTGGGTCCCATGGATACCTATGTTCCTGGGTTTGTTTCAAGGAGATAGCAAGCTCCGTTTGTTAGAGCTAACAACTGTAGCTGTCGATGGAGAAAGCCTGACTTGGTTTTTATTCTTCCCTTAAGTAAACACTCTTTTTTTCTCTATAGTACAATGACTCAATGGACATTTATAAACATGACTTTTTTTTTTTTTTTTTTTTTTTGGTGGCACAGAACCTAGCATCTTCTTTAAAAATCTGTTTCTAAAGGGAAAAAAATTCCATCTGAAGGAAGCGTTAATATTTTCCATATGTGTTGGCTCCGGAGGGTACAATTAATATTCAGATTCAGATTCAACCCATGTGGGCTGGCAAGGGCAGGCCTATAGATCACAGGCAAGCTGCAGCCGTGCAAGTCTTAGTTGATCAAGAAATCCACCAAACTCCCGGGCGTGAAAAGCTGGTGGGCCTCAGTGGGCTTAGCTCTGAAATCAAGCCCTCAGCCAGCCTTTGGGATGAAATCTCATGGGCAACACCGATTGATCCAGCTCCTCTCACAGGTCAAAAGATACTTTTTCACTTTGTGAAGCGCATGGGCGTAGACATTCGTGGAGCGTCTGAGGTGCAAGGGGCCACCGAGGTCACCGCGTGTGATCCCATGTTTGACAGCTGACCGCAGTAGAATGCACAGTAGCAGCAGGGCCTGCCCGAGTCTGGAGAGCTCCAAGTTCAGGCGTCCCTGCCCTCAGTTCCGGGGTTCCCAATGCTATGCCCAGGGCCGTGCTCGTAGACCTGCAATCTGCAAATCACTTTCCCATTTTGGGAAAAATGCTTAAAATATGCCTGTGTAATTCCAGGAAACATAAATAAATAAGATTTGATGTTTCTGGCCTTCTTAAGCTGTCATTTTATAAAAATTAGTTTCCTTTTGCTTTTTAGAGATAAGGCCTCACTCCGTCACACCCAGGCTGGAGTGCAGTGACACAATCATAGCTTACTGTAGGCTTCCACTCCTGCTCCAGTGACCCACCCACCTCAGCCTCCGAGTAGCTGAGACCACAGGCAGGAGAGCACCATCACGCCTAGCTATTATTTTTTATTTTTTTATTTTTTGTAGAGACAGGGTCTCACTATGTTGCCCAGGCTGGTTTCAAACTCCTGGCCTCAAACAATCCTCCCACCTCAGCCTCTCGAGTGCCTCAGCCTCCCACCGTACCCAGTCAATGTTTTTTATAAGTAGGTAGAGTACAAAAGCACAATATAAGATTCAAAATGCATAAAGAATCTACAATAAAAGTAAATCCCCTTCCTACACTTGACTTCCAGCCCCTTCGTTTCCTTCCCTATAGGTAGGCATTGATTCTAGTTTCTTGTGTATCCTGCTGGACAAATCCTAAAGGACAATCTTTTAAAATTACTTAAAATGCATCTTTGAGCTGGGTACAGTGGCACATGCGTATAGTCCCAGCCACTCAGGAGGCTGAGGCAGGAGGACAGCTTGGGCACAGGAGTTCACGGCCAGCCTGGGCAATGTTGCAAGACCCTGTCTCCAAAACAGAACTCATGTTTGCCACCTTTTCCTTGTGATTGCAAACCCCTGTGTGGACAATACCTGGTTGTTGCCCAGGTAATTTCTCAGGAAGGCTAAATAGTAATAACCAATAACCTAAGAAGATATGCAGGTCGGTGGGGAAAAGCAGACTGCTCCCTGATTGCTGCTTTCCTTCAATATTTTGTCCCTAACATCTACATTTTCCTTCTAAAATTTCTGCATCCACAAACAAATGAAGAGCTCACGGCATGGCTGTTCAAGAATCTGTGGATTTCAATGAGCAACTGCTATGATTTAGAATAATCAACAGAAAGCCAGTTCTTCACTTATTTTCTTTATTTCATTTATTCTATTTTGAGATGGAGTCTTGCTTTGTCGCCCAGGCTGGAGTGCAGTGGTGGGATCTCAGCTCACTGCAACCTTCACCTCCCAGGTTCAAGTGATCCTCCCACTTCAGCCTTCCAAGTAGCTGGAACTACAGGTGCGCACCACCATGCTCTGCTAATGTTTGTACTTTTAATAGAGACGGGGTTATACCATGTTGGCCAGGCTGTTCTCAAGCTCCTGACCTCCAGTGACCCACTGCCTCAGCCTCCCAAAGTGCTAGGATTACAGGTGTGAGCCACCGTGCCCGGCCCCAATTCTTCATTTCTGAAAAACGAAAGTTCACAGCATGGATGCTGTGGTTTGGATATGGTTTGTTAGGCCCACCAAGTCTACCGCTGAAGTATGGTTCCAGTGTTGGAGGTGGAGCCTGGTGGGAGGCATTTGGGTCATAGGGGTGGATGCCTCATGAATGTCTTGGTGCTGTTCTCATGGTAATAGATGAGCTCTCCCTCTATTAGACCCTGGGAGAGCTGATTCTTAAAAAGAGCCTGGAACCCCCTCCACTCTCTCCAGCTCTCCCTTCCATCCTCTCTCGCCACGTAATGCCACTCCTCTTTGTCCTCTGCCATGAGTGGAACCTTCCTGAGGACCTCACCAGAAGCAAATGCTGGTGCCTGCTTCTTCACTGCCTGCAGAACCACGAGCCAATAACCTCGTTTCTTCATAAATTACCCAAGACTCAGGTACTCCTTTAAGCTTTTTCAGATAATTCTTCATTATCTGTGATTTAAAATCGAGACTTACAAAGAATTAAAGGTAGAAAGCCAGGAACACCTATTTGTTGTGTCTCTTTCTGAAATTCCTCTGATATTTATGTAGCCCCATTGCTGCAGGTCATGCCCCCTTGCTTCGCTGGAAATATTAAAATAGACTCCTTTTGTTATCCCTGCATAATCAAGACACTGTGGCCGAATCCTAGCGGATGAGTGGGAGAGGGTTACAGGGATAAGGGGCCATGATCATGAGTTTCAGCTTCATTGTGACACTGACAGTGAGATGATATTGCAAGATTTGAAGGAGAGGGTTTACATACACACACACACACACACACACACACACACACACACACACACAGCTGAGCTTTGAACAACAAAGTTTGAACTAAAGGGGTCCATTTATATGTAGATTTTCTCCCACCTCTGTCACTCCTGGGACAGCAAGACCAACCCCTCCTCTTCATCCTCTTCCTCAGCCTACTCAGCATGAAGCCAGTGAGGCTGAAAACCTTTATGATGATCCACTTCCACTTAATGAATACTAAATACATGTTCTCTTCATTACGATTTTTAAAATATTTTACTTTCTCTAATTTATTATGCTAATATGGTATATAATATACATACAAAATATGTGTTAATGGACTA